TGTTTTTATAGGCAAACAGTCCTCTGTCTTATCTCCAATTTCAAGCTCCCACTTTTCCACAAGTTTTTTTGGTAGCTCATCAACAATCAAAGGAACCAATACTGGTGCCAAGGTTTCAGAGCTATACTTCTCTCCCATTGACTCAACCGAGCGAACATGCCCGACTACTTTATCATAAAACACCCTCATAGATGTTGCATCTTCAGCACTCAATCTGGGTAAATGGATCAAACCCCTCATATGGGCATCCAAGATCAACCTTGAATGACCAAATCTTTCCTTCAGAGTTGACAAAACAGATTCATAATTCTCAGCCACTATTGAAAATCCGTTAACCGACTCAGCAGCTACACACTTCAGTGATCGCATAATGTACTCTAGTTTTTGCACATCAGCTAAAGCACTATTATCCACAATGGACACTTTAACAGACTGATAGTATGACTGCCAACATAATATAGCCCCATCATATGTTGGTAATTCAATCTTTGGCAGTCTAACTTGAACTTTACATGTGGACCCCAAACTTGACCCACTCTCGTTAGACCCATTGCTGTTCTCAGCATGTGTATTAACACTTAAATACTTTGTCATTCTAGCCATATAGTCCATAACTCTCATTTCATACTCATTGTGTGCTGCACATTCACTATCAATTTCACTGTCTTCCAAATATATAGAAAGCGAGGCTTATACCTCTGTTAAATCATTCCATTTACTTAAAATATTATCTTTCAGTACCTGAACTCTAGCATGACTATTTTCCTCTGCAAGCGCTTCATCAATCAACTTTAAACTGTCCGTCACCGACTTCCTCATAAAACGTCGCTTCTTTTTCACGCCTTCTAGCTCTTTCGACATGCTTCCAACAAGCAATAAACACTATTTATTAACGCCAATCGTTAAATACTAAACTTTTCTTCTATCCGACACGAAGGACCATGTTTTTAAACTTATTTAATTTGCAAAATATACGGAAAACAGACGTGAAATTTAACATAAACAAAAATTTACAAAAATATAAAGTTACTTTCGTTTTGTACATATTCGGGGAGTCCGAGCCCCTGCAGTTCCTCGAACCAGTCTCTTTCTCAGTAATAATCAGTTTCTACTCTGGAACAGCCTGCGAGCGGCTTTTGTGGAATTAAAAACAGGGGGGCGACGAAAAGTTTACGAATGGAACTTGAATTGCCGCGGATTATTTATGTTCTTTTATTTTTTGTTGTTTTCTTTCTTCTTAATATGTTACGTTTATATATTACGTCGAATGTACACCAATCGTCTTTTATATCGCATCATGTAAATCGCTGAGGAGGCGATGTTTCGAATTTCGAAGCAGTGAAAATGGAGCCAATCTCGTACATACTATTTGTGATGATTTCCATCAAGTATAAAAGGTACACGTCAGTATATATGAATTTGAAAATGTTTAGAAGTATTTCATTGTTACAAATTATTTAGCAGATTCCCATTATTTGTTACACTGTCTAGCTCTATGAAATATATATTTCGAAGGCTATTTACTGTAATATATTTTATACAGTATGTTAATATAGTTAGCTGAATTTTGGGAAACACAAGGCCAGACCATGGCCTATAATACTATACTCGGACTCTCAGTAAAGTTCTACTCTCACATGATTATTATTTACAATATTGATTTATCGCTGTGAGAAACGTGTTTACACTTTAATACAGTATTATTAAACTACATTTTACAGCAGTATTAACTTCAAATACTGTGTATTTACATTTACAGTAATGACCTGAAATTATTTAAATGAGCCATTTAATACTGTAATAACAGAGTGGCCATGTTGACAAAGCTAAAATCTGATGAACCTAACCTGCTAGGATATTTCAATAGTCAGTCAATAATAGGGAAACGTTTTAGCAGCCCATTGTAAAACCTGCCCCCGAATCTCAAAATTTCATTATTTTGTTCTCTTGCCCCTACAAGCTGTATTTATACCTTTTGTGCCCTTGAGATCTTTAAAAAAATTGCCTGCTCTGCAGTATGGCGTGTAACCTTGTTGCCATATTTATTTTCTGACTTCAGGCTTCAATAAATTTCTACTCTAATACCTGACAGAGATGGGGGCCATTTGTATGAACAATAAGAAATGATTTCTTCATCTATTATTGACCCCTTACCTTTCACCCAATTTTAAAATTAAATTTACTGAATGATTTTGAAGTTTTCTAGATTATTGAAAAGAACTTTATGGGTACAAGAAATGGGGCAAAAACAGTTGAATTAAGCAAGATGCAAGTAACAATGAACAAGACCGGGTCACTGGATGGTATTTCAGCACACTGGTGGACATGGAACTTAATACCTGCAATCTATGTCACATTTATATATATAGTTTTACGCTGTACTGGAAAAATAATGTCAAGGAACTTGTAGAGATTCAGAATGCACACTTCATGGTTTATTCAATCACCAGCATGCATGAATCATTTTATGTTATGAATATTTTTTTTTAAATTATTCTCACTTTATAGATAAAATTATATCAATTTTTAATATCATAAATGAATATATAGTAGCTTTTGATTAAACAAGTTATAACAATATATCCGCAAATAATGACTGGTCTCTCTGAAATCCATATAGAAAGGTTCAAATTTGACTTCCACTACCACTACTTGATCTGGCATCCGATTGTTTGATTGGATAAATGAAACTTATCTGGTTAGTTAATGATAGCAATAGCAGCAGTGGAAGTCAAATCTGATCTCTCGATTATTTTTTGAAGATTTGCTCTAGTCACGTCAATTCAGGGTTGCCCATGCAACTTGGTTAGCACAGCTAGCTCTTCAAGTTGGCCATGGAGTTCCAATTCTTAGGATCCTGCAAATTAATTCTAGAAAACTGGCTCTAGAAAACTGGCATCAACCGGCCCCTAGTTTATACTTTGGAGGTTCGTATATCTATCAAGTATCTTTGATTCAGAACATGATAGGCCATTAGGCCTATGTGAAAATCCCACCGTTCGATTCAGTGAAGAAATATCTCCTAATTTCTATCGATAGTTTTAGTAAAATGTCAACATTATTGCGATTTATGGTCTTTGAAAGTCAAGCGAGATCGTATATTATCAAATTAATACGCATGTAATTGTCTGAACGAAAATATAGACTAGCCCATACCTTTCACCGATCATAACTTCGGCCCCTTCGGACGTATCTTTTTTGTTGAATATTCTTGTTCGAATCGCTATCAAAAACACCACTTGGAGTGTTATTTTTCAGCTTGTATTTTTAAATTTGCTTCTTTTATTATGGTATTCCATTTCTGGTCTGACTTGACGTGAACTAATTTCAAAACGCAGAGTTTCAAAACGTCAAAACATTTGGTTAATGATTAACATTTAACCGCATTTAGCCGTTGATTGACAACTACATAAAAATACTAACCAATCCGTGTTTTCCGTGCACCAGCGGACGGGTAGTTCAAAAACCCCTAGTTTGGCGGCAGACGGTATTTCCTTTGACTTCCTAATTTTCGCTGCCTGTAGAAACTGCCTGCCACGCCAGCTAGATCAGGTTGACTGAACGTGTTTCAAAAGAACGTGATCGCAAAAAGTTGATCTCGCGATATTTTGCACTGATTGAAAATCGGCCTGAATGCAACTCTCCTCCGCAGAGGCTTTAGTCCAGTATCTATTCTATGCTTTAGTTGTCTTATGATTTATCACGATCAGATACATTTCACTATACACTTTACATGGCAGAACTCGGAACACGGGCGTAGCCACTGGGCGAAGGGGCACGTGCGGAAAAGTGTGAAGGAAAGGAAAGGCAACTAAAGCCTCTGCGGAGGAGAGATGGCATTCAACATGTACGCACTGCGAACCTATTTTTAACTTAGCTGTATATTATAGAACCATTGAGCTGTATAATAACTGGAGGATCTGCTCCTATACTTCGTTCAGTCAACCAAGTGTCGCCAACAAAATGGCGGATTTTGATGAAAAATGACGTCATTTTGATGACTACTGGTCCCTAAATTCATGGTAATTACCACTGAACAAGGCTCAACTATGAGCCCGCCGCAGTTTTCACCCCCCCCCCCCTGTTTTTTATAAAAATATTTCGGCTTTCTGCAGTGAATCCTTCTTGTTTTGATATTTTCGACATATCTTTTCGACTGTTGACAATTTGTTCAAAGATGTGGAAGCCGTATACGTTAATCCTCGTCCGTGGAGCGTGAAAAACAACAATCAACTATTAAAACCTCGCGAAATGTGGGCAAGAACGATACTTCAAGCCAGAGCAAACATCCGTATTTATCAGACTATAAACAGGTATTTATATCCTATTTTACTGAATATTTCATGAAAAAATGTTAGGAATAAATGGTAGAACGTACTATATTTTTTAGAAAATAAGCCACGAGTATTTATGTGGTTGTAGACGAACCTTTTAACTTTAAAATATAATAATTTCACCCCTCAATCCCAAGGAATTAATTGTTTTGTACATATGAAACTACGATGTGCTAGTATATTAAAGAGGGGAGTAAGGTTTTATAGATAGATTTAGCCAAGACCAGGTTTTGTCATGCATGAGCTTGTGGTGAACTGGTGCAGGAGAAAGCTCAGCTGATCTTAGAATGCATATCATGTTTTGCCCAAGTTTGTATATTGTATGCTCTCTGATAGTTTGTTGTTTGTATATTTAGGGCCATTCCATTTAAAATTTCCCCCCCCCCCTTCGGATGAGGTCAGTAAAATTTTAACCCCTAAGAAAAAAAGATCAAAGTGCCGACACAAAACACCCCTGAGGAATTTGTAAATTTTCCCCTTACCTCTCAGAAAAATCGCAGAGATCAAGGGATGCCGACAGGCTTAACCCCTTAGAAACGACTTTTTGAGTCACCCTTCAGAAAAACTCTTCCGTGGGGGGGTGGACATTAAATGGAATGGCCCTTAAAAGTTCATGCATTAACTTGTTTGTCCCATCCCTATGAGCATTGGGTTAATTGACTCAAGTGCTGGCATATTTCTGGTGTCCCTGAGGTATCAAAGGGCTGTTAATGCAACAGTTAGGCCAGCAAACAAGACCTCATTGTGTGGTTATTTTTATAGTAGAAATTCCTTTCAAATTGTATGGACAACCTGACTGTCTCAGTTTTCAGATCTCACCAGAACAAGGCAAGCTCTCAGTTACACAGGGAAGATATTTTATGGCTATAAACACTAACTGGACTGACTTGGTCAAAATAAAGTCAAAACAACATTGGTCATGAAAATATTGTCAAAACAATAGAATTGTGTTGGCAAAGAAATAATAAATTATTCTCCCAACCAGGCCAACCTGGCTTCCACATTGATAGCCCCTATGGCTATAATCTATTCCGAGCCTCCTCCGCAGGCCTCTCTATGGGTTTTAGCCTGCAAATGGGTTCCCATCACTCGACTCCTCGGGTGAGATAGCTGCGGAGGAGGCTAGAGTTCATGCCACTGTTGTTAGTGAAACTCCATATCAAGAAACATGTATTGTAATGTTTCAAAATTAATTAAAGACAAAAATTTGCTTGATTTTGTATATTATTTATTCTAATTAAACTTGCTAATTTCATAATTATTCTTTGACCATGCAGTGAATAACTTTAAAACTTAACTGTACAATCAAGTTACATGTAATGCAGTATTATTAAAACTAGAGCTCATGCGTTATTTTTTGGCTGTTTGTACAGAGTAAATATAACACATTCCCCGCACTTTTAAAATTATAGGGAAAAATCATTGTTAGTTCTGCCAGTTAGGTCTGGCACCACCACTCTTTTATTAACATTCGAAAGAACTTGTATTAATTTCTTGTCCACATTACTTACATCAGTTTCACCCTAA